CTGCGTGGACAGTAACAACTTTATGAATGATAGCGGTGTCAGTTGTTTTCGGTTCATTATAAAACTCTAGCAGGACAAATAAGAATATAGAAGAGCTTCTGATGAGCCGCCTCAGTCTAGATGATTAATTAGGAATCACTGCTTTGACATGGTGAGATGGGGCACAGATTACCAGTAAACTTGCTGGACGGATGTAGTATGGGTCAGGAAAGAACTCATTCAGTTTTGGTTTGGATCAGTGGAGGAATTTTTGTGTGTGTGCAATTTGGTGCAGATCCAAATAAAAATCTAGTTTCTAGTTTTGAACTTGAAAGATGTTATAAGATATTACGAGAAAGGAAAACCCAACATGCACCACAGTCTTGTTTTGTGTGAAATATAATCTCCAATACACACACACACACACACACACACACACACACACACACACACACACACACACNAAAATCTAGTTTCTAGTTTTGAACTTGAAAGATGTTATAAGATATTACGAGAAAGGAAAACCCAACATGCACCACAGTCTTGTTTTGTGTGAAATCTCATTTTAACAAGACCTTAAAACACACACACACACACACACACACACACACACACACACACACACACACACTAAAGAATCTTCTGATATACTCGGACAAACTTTCTCCTGAGTTTTGAAAAGGAAATAGCCACACTTGTGTTTCCTTTATTCCCTAAGTACTCAGCTTTTTTTTTTTATTACAAAAAGAGCAATAAAGCTTTAGTATTATTGGGTGATAATGTGGTGAAGTCATCGGACCCATTTCTTTTGCGGCTTCAATATTTAACAGCGAAAAACAAATAATGAGTTTATAATTACATTGGAGTGGGTCTGCCCGGAGGGAGGCGAAGAGAGTAAAATACATGATACATGGAAGTGTTTTTAGAATTACAGAAATTGTGAAGACCAAAAAATAGGCTTCACACACACAGGCACACACAGGCACACACACACACGCACACACACACACACACGCACACACACACACACACGCACACACACACAGAAAGAGAACAGAACAGGGATAAAAGGGCGGGAGGATGTTGATGTGTCAATCACTGCGGCTTTGTGGGCCGCAGTATATGATGTTCCAGTTCATTTGAAGCAAGAGGGTGAGCTATGATTAAATGTGCGCGGTCGTGCAGTTCTGCAGTCGTGTCCAGTTGCACTAACTCCTGCAGAAAGGCAGATTGATAATGCTGAGTCAGCATTTTTCTATTTTGCACTGGGTGTGCCCTCTATCTGCTTCCTCACAACAGGAAACAGACTGTCCTTGTTGCAACAAGGAAAAAAGGACACAAGTGTGTAGGATAACACACACACACACACACACACACACACACACATGTATACACATTATGATAAGTTAAAGAGCAGATGGAAGACACTGACGTGACAGTAAAGACAGAAGTATAAGATTTGATTTCAGGAAGCAGCTGGTTTGAGATTTGTCTTCTGTCTTCTCTGTCGGCCACCGTGGCAGACACACTTGTGGAAGCCTTCCTGTGGAATGATACCTCCAATGGGATTTGGCGTTTCATGCATTATTTATTAGGCTTTGGAAATTCACCTGAATGAGCCTCAGTAGCCAGAGTTTCTGCACAGCGCCGAAAATGAACTGTTCCACTTAAGTTTTTGTGACCAGACAAACCAGCTTTGTCTAGACTGCAAGCAGTGTTAATACTTCATCAGTGCGCCTCATATAAAATCTCATACAATCATACTTTCTGAGAGAGCTGCTTCACTCTGTCTGGACCTACTGTATATGTTCTGAAGTTATACTTGATTGAAACACAATAAGGACTCCTTGGGGGTCTATTGACTCTGTTTTTGTCTCATGCAAATTGCAGAACTTCAGCCGTTACACATTTTATGAAAAAAAAAAAAAGAAGACATGTAAAAGTGAAGTGTAGATCTGTCACCTGCAGCTTTAACTTAACAAGCCAGTGGCTCAGACGTGAAGGGAGTAAAGTGATGATGTTCTTGCAAAGTACCAGTGACTAATGACGCCTCTCACTGATGTAGCAGACCGTCTGACTGTCGTCTGTGCAGGTGTGACACTCGGGATGATACGTTAAAAATAATCCAGGCCTGACCCAAATAGTGTTGGTGGAAAGTTCTTGATGCAGTTTCCTCTCTGCAGAACAGAGGAGCTGTCCAGGGTTCTGACCGCCACGTCTTCTTACTCTGCGTTCTGCTCCGAGGATGTTTGGTCTGTGTGGGCGGGAAGCAGCTGAAACCACGGACACTTCAGTCAGCAAACGATTTGTAAAATATCGCTCTGGTCTGATCTTTTTTTTTTCTTTCAGTGATGCATTGTATACACAGCAATCAATAGCCTCAGTAATTGCCATTGGATCTGTGCTGCGGCATGTGTGTCAGTGAATCTTATCCTGCCACTGCATTATATTGACCCAGCTCTAGTTTTCACCTCTGCTAAACCCCACAGTCAGACTGGGGTTTGCCCTCATGAAAACACCAGTGGGATCTCGTTTGGTGCCGTTGTGGAATTATTGACGGATGCTTGTGCGTCTTTGCTGATCCACGAGTCAATCGCAAGAGATTTAGTGAAGAGAAGCGTGCACGGAAAACAGAGTTGAAAAACAAGTAAATCGTAGATAATAAATAATAAACAAGTAAAATAACTAACAGTGAAGAGAGAGGAGGGAAAAATCACCCAGCCTACAGAGAATTGGCCAAAACATTACACAGCAGAGAGGATCATTATTTCCTCGAGCCAACTCGGCAAAAAAAAAACTGAGCACTACACCCACTCTGAGAGGAACCTTTGCAGCTATAGCCCCTAATGGTCTCGTCAGTCACTGTGTTGTCTTCTCCCCATGAATACCTCATTGTTTTCGTCATGTAAAAAGTGAAAAGAGGCTACAAGGGGATCATAAATTTGCCCAGATGCAGCTATGCAGTCACTTCGCTGCTCCTCATTGCAATGGTTCACAAAGCAGGCTACATTTTATTTCTGTGGTGTATAGAGTTCCTCCCCTGCTGTCGGAAAGCCATTTACTGCAGACCGCCTCTGAGAGGGCCGGTGACAGCAGCGGAGAGCTCACAGTGTTTAACAGCAAACACATGAATACAGACGAAGAGACAAGGAGGCATCACACTTGATGTGTTTTTCTTGTTTTGCATAGTGTCTCCTGTTTAAAAAGTAAAACATGTCCCTGAAATACTCACAAGTAAAACACTTTGCACTGTTAAATCAAGACTTTATTGCACCAGTGCAGAGTAAAAGGCCTCACGGCAGACATTTTCACATATTATATAAATGCAGGTCTGTTAATAATGGGAGGACATAAACACACGTAACCTAAACACACAAGTGTCCCATGTATACCACAGTTTCATGTCTGTTTTTCTTAATTATGAAATCTTTTGTTTCTCAGTTATTCTGTTTGTCTGTTATACTGTCATGCCATGGCCCATACACATATACAGTATATATACCCATGAGCCTCGGCTCCCTGTTGCTATGGAGAGGAAGCCAGTCAGAGATGGTGACAAATTCAAAATGCTCCATCGTTGCAGCTGAGAAACCAGACAGGTGCATACCTCCGCCACGGCTGATTGGCTATTGTATTACTGTATCGAGAGAGTAGGGAAAAAAACACTGAATCCCTTTCACACATTTTCATGGAAATTGGTTCAGTAGTTTTTTTTTAAATTCTGCACTCAAAGCTACAGTCAGACAGACAATAGGCAACCTCCTTAAAAAACAACACTGTCACCTCATCAGTGTTATCTGGAGCTCCTCCCATTTGCAGGGAATTGAACAGAATTCCAAAGCTTGTGATTGGCTGCTGCCTTCTGTCTCGTTGTAGTTGAACTTTATGTTTTTAAGACTTGGACCATTTGACTTATTATTGAAAAACTATTATCTTTTGTACTGAGGATTGAACTGGGAGAGTTTCTCTCAGCTCATCTAAAAGGAAAGTAAATGGAACTTGTAGACTTCCAGTAGAGCGTCTGTGGCAGCACCTCTCGTCTTGCAGCACCCTGAAATTGAGGCAGTTGACTGTCATGAAATCATCATAACTTCATTATTTACACTTATTGTTTTCCTTCTGTGGCATGTTAAATATCTTCCATGAATAGCTCTGTAGTTGTGAACTGCATGATGGGATTTCATTGCTTTGTCCCCCCATGTTTTCTTATTTATCACTCACAGTAATTTATCTTTATATCTCTGCCAAGGAGGTTGTGTTTTCACCCCTGTTTGTGTGTTTGTTTGTTTATAAGCAAGATTACACAAAAACTACCGGACTGATTACCACAAACGTAGCAGCAGAATGTGGTGTGGGTCAGGGGAGAACTCATTATATTTTGATGCAGACCTGGATCAGTGGGTGAATCCAGGATTATTATTTTTCTCACTTTCTTTAACCTTGCAAGATAGATTCAACATTTCCTTGATTTCTCAGATAACAATTCATGGTTATCCGTTTAGGTAACTTATATTTATGAGTGTGTTGTGAATGTGCTGGTGAATTTAAATGTGTTTTCTTAAGGGGATTGTTGGCGGAGGTATGCACTCTACTGATTGCCATGGTAATCCAATATTTCTGCCATTCGCTATAACCTCAAAATGAACAAATAGTTGAATAAAGGAACCTGTTTGTACCTTGAAGGAACAAGATGCTGTATAGTTCTGATGAGCCCTGCAGTGGCAGAGGAGGCATTCTCGACTCACTCAGTGGAATATCAATGCACAGTTTTCTGAATGTCACATTCAAGCTGTTGCAGGAAATTAAAGTGCAGCCCATTTTTTAGGAGAGTTGTTTGATCCACATCGGAGGGTCGCACCTTTTAGTACCAAACAGCTAAATGTGGCCGCTGTGATGTAGTGTTGAATGAAGCGAAGTTGGCCACTGAGGTGTTTTACGTCACTGTATATGTCTTTTATTGCCACACTGCAGTGTCCTATCTGCTCAACAAAGTCATTGATCCACTTTTTCTGTCTCTCCAGGTCCGAGTGTGACACCAGGATGGTCAGGTACGTGCAGCTCTTATAATGTTCTCTAACTTGTGCACATGCATGTGAATGTAAACCTAAATATTCTGCCTTTTGTGCAGGCAGGGAAACTCTGCTTGAGAAAATGCTTTGGTGAAGACATAATGTTGTGTAAGCCTTGTGTTTTGAGCGTGTAAAGCTGAGTAACAAAGGATCATTGTATTCAGAGTGTTACTGAGGCCTGATCTAGAGCCTGTTCATGGTGTTTGTGGTTATCACATTGCGGAAGAAAGATGAGATTTGGAGTGGAGTGGAGTCCAAGGTCACATTCCACTGTTTCTTAGCTTGTTGAACTTCAGAGGCTGGAGATCTGCAGCGGTGTTATCTACTGACAGATTTTAAATGTGGGCTGGTTTAAAACTGTAAAGTGAATCCGTCATTGCTGAGCAAAGAAATATTGCTGGCATGTCGGGAACACGCAGTCGTGTCTCAGTGGTAAACACACTCCTTATCTGAGGCTCCTCTCTTTAGAGACGCCTCGTCATGGGATCCAGGCAGCGTCTTCCTCCACCTCTGTAGCACTGTGTCTAGACAAGTGGAAGAGAGTGTAGCAAAGCCTGTCCCGCATTTCCAGAAGGTTTTCCAGGCCATGTCTGTTTGGAACAAACAGACAAGTGCTCCAATATCTGTGCTTGGAACACAGCCTGTGTTCACATTTGTACCGATACCAATTCTGGAATTCTGTACTGAACTGTATTTTTTTCTGAACTTTACTCTCTCTGTATAAAAAGAAAAATGTCCGACCTCTACTAGGAGGAGACGTGTCCAATAGGTTTCCACTGTATTGGTTTCATATTAACGTTTCAGCCATAACCTAACTGTTTACCTAAGCATGCTAGTCAGGCAGCCAATGGTTCAGAGTCATGTTACTAAAAATGTTAGGTCAACGTCATACAACACTGTGAGAAAAGACCCGTTTCTCCGACAACAACAACTTATCCAACAAGACAATTAATGACCTGAAGATCTCCATGAAGTTGTCGATGCCTCACTTAAAGTTTCTCCGTTTATGGCAGGTAACTTCTGTTGTTATGTCTGCAGGCGAGGTGCTAACGTTATCTGCAGCGGGGGGGCGTAGCTCTTCAGGCAAACACTCTTCAGCTTTGAGATAGTTTTCATGTTTGTAGCCTTGGTCAGCTTTGCATCTTGCGTTACAAATATTGCAATTTCCGTATCGTAACACTGTGTGCACCGATCAGAAATGTGCTTGGCTTGATCAAGTTCCAGTTTAGTCATTTGTGTGTGTGTGTGTGTGTGT